TGAAAGGACAAACAGGAGGTTTGGGGAACAGCTGGTACTTAGAGTTTTTGCCAGTATCTCAAATATTTGAAAAATTCATCTTGTCTCTTGTAATAGCTGTGTTCTGCTGTTGTTTGGAAAGATTGCACATGGTGTTTGTCATCTTTCAAGTTTGTTACTGTACATCTGCTCTCTTCATGATTTTTTAAGAATCTGACTTACTTGCCAAGGCAGTATCAGACTTCTTGCATGCAGTTTAACAGCTGCTGGCCAAGGGAAGGCTGTCTGAGATGACCTGGAGTGGTACTTCTGTGGCTGCAGAGGAAGCATGCAAAGAAAAGCAAAAATGCTTTGATGGAGTCTTTCTGTAGCACACTTGCCTCTACAGCAATGACTACTGGGATAAGTGCCTTCTAATTTTAAGACAAAAGGCAAGTTGTTATGGAGTTGTTATGCAAGTTTTTATGGGGGGGGGGGAGAGAAAGAAGAGACAGGGAGGTGAGAATACTGAGGAAGTGTGCAAAATCTGAATTTTAATGGTTTGATCTAAGCTAATTCAGGCTTTTGATGTCCTGTCCTTTCAGAATGTGTGTGGAAATCGAGTTGCTGATGCCTGGAGGGTTTGGAGAGCAGTGTCCGTTTGTACTCCAGTCAGAGTTCAGTCCAGCCAGATGTTGAATCTGATCCATGTCCAGTGAGGCACTCATGGGTTTAGTGAGATGTCAAGTGACATCTCATCTTCTGAGTTTTTCTTCTCTCCCCTTCTGACTCCTCTTGATTTTTCTGCTCTGACACTAATGTGTCATACATTTCCACTTCAGCCAGTTTTATATGTGCAGTGTAGCATCTTTCTAGAGTCTTCCTCTCTTGTGCTTAATGCAGCTGATGGTTTAAAGGCAGCTGTCAGGTAGCCTCACAGTGGAGATGAACCCTTTTATCCAAATTATAAGTCCCTGGTTCCATTGTGTTCTTACTGGGCTAAAATGAATAAAAAAAATTTACAAATTTATGATTGGGACCAATCTACTCCAATGAGATAATTTTTGAAAATAGTAATTTATTTGCATTAGATTTTTCAATTATTTGTGGATGGAAGGTGTTCTGTTTTGGGCTGGGGTGGAGTTATTTTTTTCACAGGAAGTTGTGTTTCAGATTTATGCTTAACCCAGGGTTGATAAATTAGAGGTGCTATTGCTGAGCAGGGCTTACACAGAGCCACGGCCTTTTTTGCTTATTGTACTTTGACATTGTCAAGGATAATACTGGGGGTGCTTGGGAGATTTGGGAAGAGACACAGCTGGGACAGGCAACCCAAAATGACTATGGGAATATTCCAGACTATGTGACATTGTGCTCAGTGTATAAAGTGAGGAGAAGGGGGGATGTTTGAAGTGATGGTGCAGTACTTTGACTTCCCAAGTCACCATTATGTGTGATGGATCCCTGCTCTCCTGGAGATGGCTGAACACTTGCTTGCCTGTGGGAAGCAGTGAATTAATTTCTTGGTGTGCTTTTCTTGCATGGGCAGCTTTTGCTTTCCCTATTAAGCTGTCTTTATCTCAGCCTATGAGTTTTCTATCTTTTACTCTCTTCATTCTCTCCCTAATCCGGCTGGTGGGGGACCGAGAGAACAGCTCTCTGGGGGGCTTGGCTGTTGGCTGGGGTTAAACCATGACAGAAGGGAAGAGAAGTTATTAAACCTCTGTATTGCAAAATCGAATATGATTTCTAAATGCCGGTATATTTAACATAGTGACATCACAGTGACTATCTTGTCTAGGAAGAAACTGGGACTGAGTGTGACTCAAAAGAGGCAGAAGATGAATGTAGAAGGCAGTGGAATTGCCATTGCAAATTCTTGTTTTCTGCTCCTGGTACTCCCTTCAGTCTGGTTGTGTCTCATGAAGACCCTGTAATTGAGGTGTGTTTTGTCTTGATTTCTCATCTAACTTCTTGCTACATAGATTTTGAAATGAAGTTAGCTTCACTTCTCATGCATTTTCTTTAAAAAGGATTAAATTAATCTGAGTTGTGTGTGGTGAAGAAAAAGGTGGCTGTGTTTTAGTAGTAAGGACACAAGCTTTTTACTTAGTAATGGGTTAATATCTGAATAGGTCTGTAAGTGTTTAATTCAGTTAGGTAAAGGTTTTAAATTAGAAGAAACTTATTGCAGTTGCAGAGTTTCTTTTCATCTGATCAGGAGCAGGTAGTGGATTGCTTAATTTGTTGCATATATTTACTCATTGGTGTTCAGTTTACCTTTTGTAATTAAATTTCAAACTGAAATGAGGTTGCTACATAATAATTTAAATCATGCATTCAAATATAGAAGTTGTTTATTTTCCCTTACCCTCAGCCCTGGTGTATGCTTTAGCATGCTCTTTAAAGAAATGGGATTTCTTGCTTTGGTCTATCAGTCCCCTGGTAGCTCTTGAACACACTGGACCATTTCGTCAGTAAGCGATAAGAAAACAAAAAGCTTCAACTGCAGTTGTAGTTTTCATCAATTAGCCTTTGCAGGCAAGAAAGAACATTATGTGGAGAAGGGACTTAAATAAGAGTTCGTGTTGGAAGGCATTCTGGCTGTACTCAATAAGGTAGGTGTTTCAAGAGGTTAGCTGGGCAGTGCACAGCCAGCTTCCAGCTGGGGCCAGAGTGCTGTGTGGGCAGGTGAGGGAGTTGGGTGAACTGCAGAAGGTAAGGGCAGGGCCAGCTCTGAGAGTGCTAGACAGAAAGCCATGGGAAAAACAGGCCTTGTCATATAAACTGTTAATTTAGCACTAATTTCTGCTCCTTTTAATTTATTTCTTACGAGTTATGTTTATATGAAATGCTTTTTCATGGTAACATTTACATTACAGTGGAAGAATTCCTCATAATGATTTCTATTTTGTAGCTTCAATGCACTAGCCTGTTAGCAGTGTTGGTGCTAGATGTTGCTCTTCAGTAATTGTGAATTTCCAGTTTTGACTTATTTTTTATCAAGTTCAGAAAAGTGTCTGAAGTGGATATGAAGTAGTATTTTGAAATATTTGTTTGTAGAGGAATACAAAAACATAGAACAGAAACAGGAAGGTTTTTTAATCAAATGCAGAAGTTGTTCCTCTGTTACCTCTGATGTGTTGTTGTGTAAAATATAGCAAATTCAGCTAACCTTAAATTTTGACTTATTCAAATTGTCTCATATTAAGAAAGACATACAATATAATTCAAGACTACTGCTTAGAAGTCATGAGCTTGTTCCTTCCTGACCTGTTATGAAAGAGTCTTACAGTTAAATAGTTTCTTTTTGTTCATTAAGGCTGTTAAGCTTTTAGAAATGTTCTTGAGAATAAAATATTTTAAATTTTCAGGCGGAAGTCATTACAAAAATTACTGTGCAACATTTGAAAGACAAAAGGATTTTTTAATTTACTAATGTGATTTTAATTAGAGAAATTGAAAGGCTAGTTTAATTGCTTTAGTATGGTAAAAAAAGAAATTTTCAGCTAAGCCTTTCCCAAATGAACTTTGTCCTTGGTAATAATGTAACTTCTTGTTCCAGAAAATTTACATGCCATGAAGTTTTAAACACATATTATTCATGAGTAGTACGTGGACATTGAATTGTTGCTGTTAAAAATGTAATCAACTTGACTATTGAGTTAACGTAGTTTTAAAGAAAACTGATTTTGTTTTATATTCCTTCCCTTTTGGGAGAATTCTGTCTCACTTGGTCATCCTTGCTCTGAAAGCTGCTCTCTGCAGGACAGTGTTTTCTATGCCATTGTGTCCTTTCTATGCCATTTGTCCTTTTGATGCTTTGAGAGCTCTTTTTTTTCATTTGTTTTCCCCATCTGTTGTGGTTTAGGAATGGTACTCCACAATTTAGTTCTCCTCCCGAGACTTTCCAAACCACACTGTCACTTGCTCGCTCCACTTCCTCCCCCGCTTCTGCCCCCCACCCCCTCCAGGTAGCCAGGGAGAACTGGATGTGTAAAAGGCACAGATCACAGCTCGAGATACGAACAATTTACTGGAAAGAGCAATGAGATAAGAAAACAAACAGTAGCAGCAACAATATTAATAAGAAAAACATATAAGAAGAGAGAATGATTCACGTGCAAAAATGCTCAAAAAATGCAGAGCCTGACTTGACAGAAGCCAGGTTGTTCCTGACTGTAGAGGAATGCACTGCTTCTTGGAAATGAGGAGAGGAATCCCTTTTCCCTGCCCTTGGCACTGATGTGAGATGGTATCAAACAACACAAGCTCTTGGCTCCTCCCCTTGGTCTGGGCTGGAACCAAGACACCATCCTTATTTATTTCATTTTTTCCAAGAAAACCAGTTCTGACAACCTTAGTTTTCTCAGATAAATGTCTTCCTGCATCTGGCATGTTCCTAAAAGTTGTTCAGTAAATGCTCTTATCCCATTCAGAATGCCATACAGCTTCACCTGTGGAAAACCATCTTCTTCCTCATGCAGCCTAATTCTGAGAGGCACTTGCCCTTACATGTCAGATGAATTTATCATTTTTACTGAAAACCGTCAGAGCTGGGGTGGGTCGGTGTCTGACGTAACTGGGGGCTGTAGTGCTTGGTTGGTCTGTTGGTGGCCAGCTTGGCAAGGCAGGATGCCAGCCTGCTCCAGACAGTGACCTTTCCTGCCGCTTGTGTGGGGACTGCCAGTTTTTTCTAAATGCAAATGTGCGTTGGAGTCCAGTGATTCTGGAACTGCAGCACAAGTCTGTGCATACAGTAAATCTTACACCAAATCTAAGGCAAAAAACCTACATTACCTTTATTGCCTTTACTCTCTGCTGCTCTGCAGTGCTCTTGTCATATTCCGGCATGAGTGCACAGCTCCAGTGCCCCAGTAGGAATTGTACAGTATCTTACAGTGGTAAGGCTGAAGCAAGGCTTTAAAAGAAGAAAGGTGAAGTACTTTTTGGAGAAAAAAACTCTGAATGTGTGCTACACTGATTCAGATCTCTTAATTTCATTTTTGTAAATGTCATACATATTTGTTTGTAAATTCCAGATTGTGAGCCATGCCTTTGGTGAAAAGGAACATTGAACCACGGCATCTCTGCCGAGGAGCTCTGCCAGAGGGAATTACAAGTGAACTGGAATGTGTAACAAATAGCACCCTTGCTGCTATCATACGCCAGCTAAGCAGCTTAAGTAAGTACCTGTAACTTCCTGCAAGTATTTGATTCATGATGAAAAGCTTTGAGATGGATTGTTTTCAATAGCAAAAGTATGATATGGGACATTACCACTTATGTGTTATAATAATAATTGCCTTTATGCTCTTCTATATTTTGAAGTTTATTTAAAAACCCAACCCTGCCCCCACTCCAAAAAACAAATTAACAAAAAAACAAGTAAGTAGGAAAAAAACCACTATCAACCAAAAGACCGGAGCATAGAAGACCAGAAATTTTTCTAAGGTGAGAGAAATTAGTGCAAGAAACAAGACCAGCACTTGACTTCTACAGGATTGAGCCAGCAAACTCTTCTGCCTCTTGGCATCAAATGACACATTTGACTGAAATTTTAGTTTTTCATAGTGTACTAGTATTTCTTAAGCCTTCTCTTTTATATATATGTGCTCAATTCATATGAATGAAATTAAGCGCATTGAAAGGATGCCATTTGCTGAACAAGCCTGCAGGCTACAATGGAGGCAGGCTAACATCAGCTCTGTACAGAGTAGCCTACACACCACACCTGTCAGGTGACACCGCCACTAGCAATTCTAGAAGCATGACTGAAGTGTTTGCATGATGAACAATATTTTTGATGAAAGGGATAAGAGATGTTTTTCAGACAGTCTTTAACAATCAGCAGCTGTAGTTTGTGCTGATAACGCTACTCCTAGAAAAGAAATTACTGCTTCATCAGTTGCTTCTCTTTGTAAATGGACGTGGTTTTAAAACTGAGAGTCTGTATGGAGCTCAGACTATGGGGCCCACTGGTTTTCAGTTCATGATGATAGGAAAAGCCTTTGCTTAGGGAAAGAGAACAAGAAACACAGCATTTCCTCTTCACAGTAGTCAGGGATTTAGGGATTTTTCTGAGCTGGAGGTCCATCTGAATCATCCTATGTAATGAGCATTTGTAAAATATCATCTGTGGTATTGCTTAGATCCATTGAAATAGGGATTACACCTTCTTCTTGACCAATGACCTGTGGCAGAATGTCCCACAATGGAAGTTGACCTGTACTTCCTCCTGATACCTTCTGATTCTGGTGTGATGAAAAATAATGAAAGGTGCTTTCATCTTGCGCATTTCTGTAATAATTTGTGTTTTTATTAAGTCTTGATCTTGTTCTCTTGGTGATGTCTTTTCCGGGTTGAAGCGTCCTGCTCTATAAGTGATCTTTTTGAATAGAAACTATTTTGTATTTCAGAACACTGTTATTTCTGCTTTGGATATATAAGTTACGGTATGTTGTGGGCTTTCTAAGGTGGAGTGTTGAGGACTTAAGATCATATTCAAAACAGACTTCTGTTTTATTATCATTGCCCTAGGAATCTGTAGAATTTGGATTGTTGCTAAGCATTGAATTATTTTCAGATAAGCTTGCAAGTGATCCTCTGATCTTTTGTGAGCAGCAGCCGACAACAGTGTCTGATGCTGTTGGAGTTACTTTGTGTTTGCATTGTCATTGAGTTTCATTTACTGTTTTCTCAGACAATTGCTTAGTAGCACCATCCTTAAGTTTCAGAAAAGTAAGAATGGTTAACATTCTAATTACACTGAAGGAGATGTTATAAGACCTCATTTTGGTGGTGTGCTAGGATTGTCCAAGTGTGGAAAATACACTTTTTACTTGTCTGACTTGCTAGGAATGTGCACAGCTTTCATTTATCCAGATTTGGTCTTGGGGCTAATCTGTTCTACAGTGTTTTTAGATCCTCTTAAGATTGTTGCTGAGGAACTGACTACTTATATTCATATCCAGCATTTTTCCCTTAGCAGATTTTTACGGTCATCTGAAGTCTTTGTAGACAGCCCCTAAAGTTCTGTTAGTGTCAAGGTAAAGATCTGTGCAAATAAATGATGTGTCCTTAGTCTTAACAGATGAATGTGTGGTATTTAACAAGTGAAATGTACCACCATTCTTATCCACAGTCTGAAATATGTCATGTTTGCAGAGGGCTTTTTCTGCAGACAGCATTTGCAAGGAAACGATCACAGGAAAGTGCTGTGCTGGAGCTGAAGTAGTATGTCCTGCTGCTGCATCAGGGCTCGTTGGTGTTCCCACATCTTCAGGCATAGCACAAGGAAGTTCAAGTCTGTCTTGCAATCACACTGGTTTTTTAGTGTTGCACTGTGAGTTCAATGTGGATTTTAAAAACTGATAGGTCTGCACTGTTGCACACAGATTTGGCTTGCTTCTGCCTCTGCTCTTTTTGGGAGATGTGAACAAGTTCCTATCCAAAGGGAATGTGCTCTCGGGAGAGCTTTTTCTGTATCATTTTTTCAGATTTGGGTTTATTTGCAGCCAGCAGGCTCAGAGCACAGGCAGAGCAAGCAGAATTCTGTATGAAACTGTGCATTTTTATGTAAGGCAGGACCTTGTCTAGGGGATTCACCTCCACCTGGGAGGAAAGAATCTCCTGGAGAGGAAAGACAGGGAGCATTTGCAGCTCGTACATCTAAGCAGCATGGAGGAAGTGTAATCCGTGGAGACTTGAAAGACAATTTTCTTCCTGCAGAGAACAGCATCCACCAACTTGCCTCCTAGTATTTTCTTGGGTAGATTGGCCATTGGCTCAGTTTCCCTCGCTTTTGTGCAGGTGTGAGCACACTGCATCCCTCTGTAGTACTGCTGAACCAGGCTGGGTTGGAAAGGTTGCTTTTTTGCCATTAAGTATCATGCTAGAGGTACTGTGAGAAAGGAGATGGGAATCAAGACCTAGTCAGTAACAGCCTACCACTTTTGCATCTTTAAAAAAAGAGGAGGGGTAAAGCATGATTCTTATGTTTCTAGTTAATCCAGCTACAGTGATTCTACCCACCCATGGAATCACTGTCTTATGTAGTTGGAGGGAACCTTAGAAGAAAAGACTGCATAATGTCTTAGATGTGATTTTAAATTAATTTATAGGTTGGCCACATGTTGGGCAACACCTATTGTTTTTAAATTGTTGTCTTACAATACCAAAATCAGCTCTTAAATTGAAAGACACATGCTTTTTCCCTGCTTTATTTCTGTTTTGTTAAAGATCAAATTTAAACAATGGTAACATAGAAAACACTTGAAGTATTATTTTATTTCTGAAACTTACTGCGTTATGTTAATCACAACAGCATGTCCAATACTGCTTCACCATGTCATTGTTTTCACACAGAGGAGATTGACAATCTGTCTTTCACATGTTCTGGGCTAGCAAGTGTTGAAAAAAATCAGCTATTAAAAGAAGCATGCTTCCACTTTGCCTTCTGAAAGATAACTGACAAATATCCATCCCCTTGACTTTTCTTGGGGTGATCTGTTTAATCCTAAAATGTGGCAGTCCTCTCTCAGCAGGCTGATTTCAATATATTAACATAAACTAACATCTGTTAAAATTGATTGAGCTCTGAATATTGGTGGATGAAGAATGTAATAACTGCTTTATGTAGCTGAAGAGTTAAAAAGCTTATTTTTTTCCATAGCTTGGAATAACATCTTCATTTGGAGCAACTAAATCAAGTGGGGATTTTAAGTAAATTTCAACTAGCTGCTGGGAACCCTTAGAGAACACTTTGAGTATAAAGGCAGTTGAACACTGACACGGGTAGCCCAGAGGAGTTGTGGAGCCTCCATCCCTGCAAGTGTTCAAAACTCAGCTGATCAGAGTCCTGTCTCATTGTGCTTTGAGCTGGGAATTGGACCAGATGATATTGAACTTCAGCTATTCTCTGCTTGTGTGTGACTTCTGTTTTGGAGGGGGAGGAGATTAGGAGCAGGTAGATAGCATACCTTTCTTATCCACCTTCTGCATGTATATATTAAGCAGAGCTTGCATACACTGACATATCCTAACATTTTGGGTTGGCTGATCTTACATGTAGTAATGAAAACTGTTACTGGTCAAGTCCTTCATTCAATGGCCATTACTTTTTTTTGTGATTCACAGTGTTTTCAGATAATATTTTAATCTAGCTGTTGTTTCCTCCTGCCACCCAAGCAAGTGACCAAGAAAAGGCCAGATCATCCTGCTGACTTCCTAAGTGGGGCCATTTTTTTACAGTGAGCTATTATCTCCAGATGTCCACAGAATGGGACTTAAACGGAAATTTTCATTATCTTTTTACTTTTCTTTGTAAAATATTAAGGTTGGTTATGGGCCCAACGTAAAATGTCAATAATGGCTGCTTTGGAAGTCCCTGTCATTTAGGTGGTTAATGCATATTCCATATTCTTTCAACAAATTGGATAGTTTTACTTCCCCTCCCCCTTGCACTTCTGGAACTTTTCTTCCATTTTCAGACTCTTCTTGATACAGGTCATAACAAGATGAGCTTAATTCAGGTAGGGTTTTAAAATTTGTTTTTGTTTATAAAGCATGGCTAAGTGCAGGAGGCAGGACTTTTCTTTCTACAAGGATTTGCTGAGGGCGTTGGGCTGCAGAAATTGTAGAGGGAGACATCTTAAATGAAATACCAGTATTTGGGTAAGAGGGACCATCAGTTCAGTTGAGCAAGAACAATGAGTTTGGGTGGAATCTGAAATTTGTAGGGGAAGTTCTGGGCAGGTGAACTGTTAAACTGGGTATCCGGAACCACTGATCTGGAGTGGATGAGAGTTGTGGACTTGGGTACGAAGAGAGTCAACCTGTTGGTGAGTATGCCTGGTCCTGTGGAAGGACTGGGAGAGGAATGGCCATACACTGTGATCTGTGCATCAGGAAGGGATTTGGGTTATCTTGTGGCACCTTCTGTCAACTGTGGCACTTTCAAGGAAGGGCAAGGCTGCAAATCTGTACTTGGTGCTGGTGAGGCCACACTTTCTCCAGTTCTGGGCCCCTCAGTTCAGGAAGGACATTGAGGTGCTGGAGTGGATTCAGAGAAGGACAGCAAAGCCAGTTAAGGGTCTGGAGCATAAGTCTGAGGAGCAGCTGAGGGAGATGGGGGTGTTTTGCCTGGAGAAAAAGAGACTCAGGGGGACCTTACTACTCTCTACAAGTGCCTGAAAGGAGGGTGTAGGCAGGTGGGGGCTGTTCTCTTCTGCCAGGTGATAAGTGACAGGATGAGAGGACAAAGTCTTAAGCTGCTTCAGGAGAGGTTTAGGTTGGATGTGAGGAGGAATTCTTTCACAGAAAATGTGATTAGGAATTAGAATGGGCTGCCCAGCAGATTGTGGAATCACCATGCCTTGGAGGTATTTAAGGAAAGAGTGGATGTTGCACTTGGTGTCATGGTCTAGTTGATGTGATAGTGTTTGAACACAGGTTGGACTCGATGATCTCAGAGGTCTATTCCAACCTAATTGATTCCATGATTTGGTGATCCTGGACTGCATTGTCCACTGTCACAGTGATTGAGAACGTACAGCAGGTGAAAGGGAGGCTGAAAAGGTTGTGCAGTAAGTCCAGTTGTGGCCATGGGTAAATGTGGTCCGTGGCCTCTGACCCCCTCTCAAATTACTCCAGGGACAGCAGCGTTTGTAGTCAGCATTTGTAGAGCTAAGTGGACTGCTGTTTTTATAACTCTGTTTTAATTTTGATGTTGGCCTATGGATTTCAAGATTTTAATTTCAAAATCTACTTCAGAAGCTTTTATTGACTGCAGTAACTTCAGGCCTTTTCATCACAGAGCCAGTTTTTAATACTCAGTTGTCTGTCAGTTGGCACTAGCTCAGCTACAGAAGGATTAGAATTTGTAAGTTTTCCTGTGTTTTTAAGAAGACTGCTAACCAGGATGTCCAGAAGAATAGACTTCAGGCAGAATTTATGGTATATTTTCACTTTTTTTCTACAAACCTGTTGCCTCAAATTTTGCCGAATGACAAACTGTGCTGTTCTAATCCTACAGCTACTGTGTTTTATTATACTTCATTATATTGAAGCCATTTGTCTTGTGTTTTGTGAGCCACTAGCAAAGGGATTTCCTTGTCTGTTTTCTTACACAGGCAAACATGCTGAAGACATATTTGGTGAATTGTTTAATGAGGCCAACAGCTTCTACATCAGAGCAAATTCCCTCCAAGACAGAATTGATCGCCTTGCTGTCAAAGTCACCCAGCTGGATTCAACAGTGGAAGAGGGTAGGTAATTGCACGAAAGCATCGAACCAGAAGTGATGTTGACAAGAGCACAGTGTTTAATTGCACAATAACCTCTGTCTTTTCAAAGTAATCCTGTAACGATATTTCATCTTGTTGTCTCAGTAAGGCAAGCTGGGAATAATCACTTTAGCAGAGCAAGTGAAAGTATTCTTGAGTCAAGAAGCCCCTGTAGTAATGGAGCTATTATACTGCCATTTTCATGAGGAAAACTTTGAGTTTGTGACTGGAGTAAATCATAAATGAATAAACACAGACCTTACTGGGAGTAGGTCAGAATATTGGAAAAAGTTTGAGACACGGGGTATCCATATCAATTTCAGAGTAGGGTAATCACAAACTATATTAGTCTTCTCTGGGGTCATCAAAGATCACATAATATTCTGTATCTAAACAAGGCACTGTGTTTGGATCAACTAGGTGAAATTCTTTAGGGGGTTCTACTCGCTAGAAACTGTATTTCCTTTAAAAATATTTCCCACTTATGAGCTTGGTTATTCACTTAATAAATGCACAATAAAAACAAAGGATTTAAAGTAACATCATTATGTTGTTTGAAAGCACTTATTTGGGTAGATAAAGCATTTCTCTGTCTGGCTTAAAAGCTGTTAACATGCATTTTGGCCTCCATGCTACATGTCTGAGCCAGCCAATGTCTGTACTTCCTGTTTAGATGATTCCTGACATTTACTAAAATATTGAAGCTTTTTATACCAGTACAGTAGTGTAATATTGGCTCATTAGTAGTTAATGCTACTTGTGAACTATTTAACAGTGCTGTTTATATGGCTTATATATTTCATATGCCATTCAGATTTTTGTGGTTTGCATATTTATAGTGCCAATTATTAGTGCCAATATTAAATTTTACTGTTGATATTTAATAGTGTAATGGTGTGATATTTAGCCTTCCTTTTTTAGCTGGTTACTGTCTGGAAATTATTACGTGTCATCATTTTATGATTTGGGAATATATTAACTGTTAGACTCTCAGCTGCCCACAGAAGGTGTAGATGCCCTATCTCCAAAGAAACCTGGTTAAGTGAAAGGTGTTCTTGTCCATGGCAGGACATGAGATAATCTTTAAGATCCCCTCCAAGCCAAACCACTCTTATTTTTTGGTACAAGCACCTGTGTCTTGCTGCTTTAGGAGTCAAGCTATATGGGAACGTAAAATAAGCTCCTATGGGTTCAATACTCAGCTTAGTTTTTGAGGCATATTGTGTTGGTACTATGAACAAACAAGATGATATCAATATCCTGTACTTTTGGAAAGGGCAGTTTTCATCTTGGTTTTGTTGGTCCATGTTTTTTTTTTCTCCCTTCTTTTTGGTTTAAGGCCTCATTAATGTCTCATTAGTGTTATACAGTACCACCCAGCTATTTTTCAGAGGTTGGAGAATAATTAAGAGCAATCTTTTGGAAGGGGAAACTTGTACATGGACTGAGAATTTAATCAGTGTTTATTTTAAATTGACAGCAGTTGTTACTCTTGCATTGCTAATCATGCTTCATATTAATAAGCTATATATACAAACTGCTGTCACCTTAGTGTCAGTAAATTTTATTAGCTCTTCACTGTAGAAGTTGAAGTCTTTATAATAATTCATTGTACTGTCAGAAATAGAATGTTTCTGTATAGCTTTGGCATTTAAGCAAAATGTCAATTGCAAGATTGTTTTAAAAAGCATTTCAGATTTGATTGCATCAGTGATTTCTTATATTCTTAGCTATAACTAATACAGTATATATAAAAAGATATAAATAACCTATTCTAAAAATCTCCAGAACTTTTTTTGTTCTTTTGAATGTCTTCCATCAAACAAGAATGAAACAATTCAGATATATACATCTAAAAAATCCGTCTGAAATACCTTTTACTTACAGGCAGATTTAAATAGAAAGTACTTTCAGAAATGATGTTTTGATACTTCAGATGATGTGAGTGGGGGAACAAGTATTAGACATTAAATATTCTATTTTTAATTTTGTGCTATTGTAGAAGTTACATAAGAAATTAAGTAATTCTTGGAGTGAGAAGCAAGTCCTCAGCACAGATAACAAAACTAGTTGGGCAGAGAAGTCTGAGTGGGATTTGGTGTCCATCATGACAGACAATAACAGTGTAAAATTTCATCCCTTTTTCTTTTTTCAGGTCATCAGTATACTACATTTTTGGTCATTGCAGTTAATTTACCTTATGAAATTTCTCACAGTTTGTTCTTGAGACTCAGTAACTTGGATGAATGGGCAAGAAGTATTAGATGAAATGTGAATGGGAATAAAAGGAGAATAAGCCGGTGCATTTTGTTTGCACAAGTTATAGAGCTTACACTCCTATAAAACACTTGGATTGAATCCAGGAGTGGTCAGTGTCATTGTAGACAACCCAGTTAAGACTTCAACATCCTCTTCAACTGCAGTCTAAAACCTGTATTTCAGGTGCTTAGCGGTGGAAGATATCAAGAGCTTACTGCCACTTCTGAATTGTGATTGGCCTTTAACTGGAGCTTCTCTAACAATGATTGCTGCATCTCATGTATTAAGAGTGAAAGAAAGTCTTGATAAAGTGACAGGAACAATTAAAACCAGCTTAAACCTTTCATTTGAAAAGAAAGAAGGAAAACCGTGATGTTGTTTCCCCTAGAGCAGTGTATGTGGAAAGATAAAATGAAAGTACGAGAGTACCAGTATTTCTCTCTGTAGAGACAAGAGCAAAACTTTTAAGAGCAAGGAGGGTTTAGTTATATGGGAAGACACAGGAGTTGAAAGAAGGTAAAATAAGTGGAACTCCGTCTCTCACAAGAGATTGCTGCAGCAGTAATTTAATTATATTTAGAATGGGCTGGAATTCGTATAGATGGCATGTGCAATTATAAAACACTGTTTCAGAGGAATACCAGACCTTGTGTTTCAGTCTTGAAGACAGTGTTTCTGCTGTTAGAACTCCAGGATAAACCTTATAAAAAGGGGAAATGGTTGGACATCTGCATGTGACAGCATTCTTGTATCATCTTCCAAGGTACAGTCTATGGTCCCATTATTTTAAGTGAGGTTCTGGACCAAGTGAGACTTAAATCTTTTTTTTATGGACATTCTTACATGCCTTGGCACTTAAATGTCAGGATTATCCACTAAGGAAAAAACTGTTAACTTGCTGAAAATATTTCAAAAAATTAGTGAAAAATGGATGTTGTGTATCCACTTTAATTTGTGTCAGACCTATGGTAAAAGCATTTCTGTTTCTAACAGTATCCTTACAGGACATCAACATGAAAAAAGCATTCAAGAGCTCAACAGTTCAAGACCAGCAGGTAGTTTCAAAGAACAGCATTCCAAACCCGGTGGCTGATATTTATAACCAAAGTGACAAACCACCACCTCTGAATATTCTTTCACCTTATAGGTAAGGAAATATTTATTGTTTAACTTCTTGTACTTTGCCCTTTATTTCCTAATTGTATGCAGAGAATAATTATAGCAGAAGGGAAAAGCTATACTGATTGTTGAGATTTGATTTTTCAAGACCGATAAAACGTAATCGTCAATCTGCAATAATTAATCAGTTTATTTTTTAAGAATGGTATACCACAGTATTTGCAGTGTATTTAATTTTTAAGAATTTTTAATTGGAAGGTAAATGTGTAGGATTTAGGACCAAGGGATGTGTTTTTTCTCCTGCTACAGACAGTGGTGGTATTTGTTCATGAACATCCAGTTAGTAAGGGTTGTTATTTATCAGCTTGAAGCTTGGGTGATCATCAAATGTAAGTCTTCTGCATTTAAAGCATAGTAATTAATGTATTTTTAGCTTTTCTTCTGCTGTTTTTCCAGGGATGATAAGAAAGATGGATTGAAATTCTATACTGATCCTTCCTATTTTTTTGATCTTTGGAAAGAAAAAATGTTACAAGATACTGAAGATAAGCGAAAAGAAAAGAGGAGACAAAAGGTAAAAGCAGAAACATTATAGCACATTCATGCATTACAACTTTATGGGCAGCTGTCCGAACATAAAAATTTCCAGGTCATACTTAGTATGTGTGTATGGAAAGATTGTTCCTCTTGTGTGGCTGTAGATTTAGTGCATTCCGTTTTTATAGCTTATCCTGTCTATTTTAAGATGGCAGCAAATGAGATTTTAGGAGTGCTGTGGTTATCTTCCAAGATGCTGTCTTGAATCTTTTGCCAGTGTCTGTTTATTGGTACCCAGAAAAATGGCCCTGCTATGCTCCAGAAAAAGATACTGTAATGGGAGAGGAAAGGAATTGGAATTAGAGTTTTTTCCATTCCAGTGTCCCATTTTTTCCATTCTGATTTTAAAGGAAAAAATACAGATGGTTTTCTAAGAATTAATAATATTGCTTGAGCATTTCTCTATTCCTATAGAATTATTTCTACAAAACTGTATATAAAAATTACTTTTAGACTTTAACTTAGACAACACATCCTGCTTATTTCCATCCATGGAATATTTTTTGTAGATTTTAATTGTCTTATTGCAGTCTACAAATACGCTCAATTCCAATCATGTCCAATTATAGGCATACCTCACAGAAATACCCCTTGATAAATTCTAGCAGAAGTGCTATTTGATTTGATTAAATATATGCCAAGTCCAACTAAGAAGAAAGCAGCATAGACTTGAGTAAGTTAATTTTGTGATGGGAAGAAATCTGAGGTTTAGCTTTCCAGAAGATGGTTTTCAAGCATTTCATGATTGCATCCTTTGGGAGAGCAGGATGGTTTGGGTGAGATGTCTCCCAGGCACACTTTGTTCTACAGGTTGCTGAACCAAATGTCCTTTTTCTTTTGATCTTGTCCTTATGGTAGCAGTAACCAGGAATGAATCCAGAGCATTTATTAACCATTTGATAGCTGAACTTAAATTTTCAATCTATTAAATGAGAATTCTTTACTTAATTTGTGCTCTACAGAAACACAAAACTTGATAGTTGTTGGGAAACTGTGCGGGTGAAATAAATGTGTATTGTTTAACAAAATACAAGCTAGATATCCAAATGCCATCCTACTCAGCTGACCAAATACAGTGAGTTTTTAGCCTCAATTTTTTAGGTGCTTGGTGAAATCTGAGAGTAGTCCCTGCACCAGAGAATCAGTTTTCCAGTATTATTTTGATAATTTGCCCTAAGTGCTTGAGCTGTTGCAGCAGGTGGTTTATGAGCTGTTTCATTTTCTTGCCTCAAATATGCTTTTTGTTTTTGTATACAGTTTAATTGAAAATATGTGACAGGCTTCCTCTAATTTGCCTCTTTCAGGCAAACTTTTTTCTGAAGCAAAATGCAATTTTAATTCTTTAAGTTTAAAATTTGTGTAGTCTGTTTTTTTATTTTCCATAGATCAGTGTCTGTGAGTTCCATGTAGTTTTGACTTGGTATGTATCAATAGTATTCTAAATTGAATGGCTCTAGGTAGGGCAGTTGTGATGAACCAAAGGATAAGCTGTTCTAATTTGCTTTTCATTGTGCTGGCTTTTTATCTGAGAATAATTAGCTATTCAAGCAAGTAAAACTTTTAAATTTGGGAAGCTTGTATTTCAGAAATGATTTTTGATGTTTTGATAGGATTTTATAAATTTGTGGTCAGGAAAATACTCTAGACTTGTGCTTCCAGTTTTTTAAGGTATTGCAAATACTTGCTGAAGCTGCTTTTTATTACTATCTCTTAATTCTTTATTAAGATGCTTAAAATTTTTTTGCTAATTCTTGATGCACATATCAAACTTACAATTAACCCTGTTTGAAGGCTCTAATGTGTTTTGTGTTTGCTGAAATAATTTCCTGCCAACGTGAATGACTTTTTTTCTGGCTTAATCTACATCACCCACTTGCCTGCCACAGCTTCTATTACAGTTAGTTAAAAAAAAGTAACTCCTCATAATATTACTTTGATTTTTCTGAGAAATATTTCCAGTTGTGATTATATAGAAAAGCTTCAGCTCCCCTACAACTCTGTCATCTTTGCCCTGGGTAGTAAAGCTAGAGCTGTCACCATTGTCAAGGGAATGAAACTGCTACTGGAACAACTTAAAACTATTCTTAGAGGTACATGTAGCTTTGTCAGCTGCTAGTAATAGGGGTGCCCCACTGTTTTGGAAGACATTTAATGTTTTAGAGATGTATTGCTATAATATTTAACCAAAATATAATTACTGGTAGGATTTAGTACTGCTTGAGTGAAAAGGATTCAAGTGTGTTTATTCATTAACATCGTTGCAGATGCTGATGTGGAACAACCTGCCCAGCTGAAATCTAATCCAATTAAAACCAGCTAGGCTTTGTGCTTATTTTTTATTATTTATACATCCATATCTATTTACCTTCCATAAAAAAATTGATGAAAAAGTAGTTATCAGACATCAGAAAGGGTGTGATTCTAAAAACTTTGTGGAGAAAAAATATTTTGGGAGAACTGATTAAGAGCCAAGATGATAATTGTTATTTAACATAAATCAGACCAGAAATCTGTTTACTGTAGAAATGAGCAAGAGTTGTCAAAACATTTGGTGTTGAACTTCAAGAAATCTTTTCTGTCATTTTAAATGTTAGCAGGGTCAGCAGGTCCCTCATGCAAACATGCATGAACGAGCAGGAAATCCAAAATAAGGACAAGGAAGCCATTTGTTAGGTTTTTTGTTAGTTATGTAATGCCAAACACATTATTTCAGAATTACTGCCTCAGTGCTATTCGACAGTTGAAATAAAAAACCTGTGTTCATCTGTGATGAACTTCTTGAGCTAGCTTTCCAACTATTATCCCTTATTTTGTGGGTCTAGATTCCCCAGTAAAAGGCTTGCCTACCAGAATTTGACCAAGCTCTTCTCTCAATGCAATTCATTGACTGCATTCTCAGAATAGCAGTATAATTCTTTCCTGAGAAACTATTTTTCTGGAAGCCAAAAGCCTAATACCAACCTACTAATGGATCAGACATGTATTCTAAGGTGTGGGATCTAGAGCTGATGGAAAAAAAAACAACCTGTGCTCTCATGAATACTGAGAAAAGGAGTCGTAGTCCCTTCTCATTCTGAATTGAACAATCTTGTTCATTTTTTGTGCTGAAGCACCAGTATGAGTTTTATATTGATACTGAGTAGTCAGAAGTAGGTGAGTACAACATTTCCAAGGTGTGAAAGCATTGGGTCCCAATATTAGGAGATCATGCTATCAGTGAGGTAAAGACAAATAGGTATGATGAACACTGACAATGGTTGAGCGTGATGTTATATTGAAAGATGAAAACAGCCAAGTTTGCCATGAACCAATCAAGCTGTCTTGCCCATACTGCTGGCCTGAGTATTACTGACTCACTGCAGAGAGGATTAGTGTAATTCATTTTTATATCAATGATGAGGAGAAACTAGAAGGAATTTTGGTAGTTAATTAGAGCTAAGAAGGGAGAGGAAGTTAAAACAAACAAAAATAATTTCACATAGACTAGGGAAGTGTGTCCAATTTCTCCCTGGCCGACTTCCCCTGGCCCTGTTGATTGTGACCATAATGAATAACCAGAATAGCCCTGAGCTTATGTAGCATTCTCAGAAATTTGATTTTCAGGAGATGAAAATTACAAGTGCATCAGGGTGGTCTAAATAAAAGACATGATATCAGAAGAAACTCAACTTTCTGGCTTTTAAAGTTGGTCACATTTTTGTATTAGGAAAACCAGGAGATTGGCATCGCAGTAGCACATAAATCCTTACAGGACAAAGGCAAATCAAAAGTCCTGCTACTAATGAGGTTCATAGTGTAGGGAGATATTCTTATTTTAGTGCAGAGAAATTTTATGAAGAGTTGGCTTCACCTGTAAATCTGGTCTTATTTTCATGCACTCTAACTACATATTAACCAGCTTTTTTCCCTTTCCTTTTTTTCTCTCTCTTTGCATGCTTTATTTCTCTTGTTTGGACATTAGGAGCAAAAGCGTATAGATGGCACCACCACCCGTGAGGTGAAAAAGGTTAGAAAAGCCAGGAACAGACGCCAGGAGTGGAATATGATGGCATATGACAAAGAGCTTAGACCTGACAACAGGTTGTCTCAGAGTGTGTACCATGGAGCATCTTCCGAGGGATCACTGTCCCCAGATACTAGGTCTGTTTACAGCAAAGCTGTTTGTTGTACCACAGTTGTATGTTCAGCAATACTGAGTAGAATTAGGTGTTTTTGCAGGATGGGAATAGTTAGACAAAACATACAATGCATGTTTAAAACATTATTTTCAAATTTATTTTAAAGCATAAATGATATAACAGATTCCATAATGTTTTTTTCTTCCTCAGCTTCTCATGACCATTTTGTCATCTTAATGTTATATATTGCAGAGAAAGAAGTGTTTGCTGCATGCTTTGTATTTCATCTTCAGTAGTTGTAGTTACCAAGCATTTAAGCCTCTACTACATAATGTCAGTAGCTCTTCCTTAATGTCTAGTTGGTTTGCTCTGCTGGTACCTTAATAAATATTTTTCTGTGATCTACTCAGTCGAGAATGCTTTTGCCTGTAAGGAATGCTTCGGTGGAAGAAGAGTTCAGCTTATTGATGTTACATTAGTCTAAAAAACAAGCTAGCAAACCAGATGAGATGTTACTGTTTGAAATAACAAAAATATCTGCTTAGAGATATGCAGCAGAATTCATCTTGACTGATTTGAGATTGTCTTTGAGCTCAGTGAGAGTTACCTGATGTGCATTGAAGTATCAGTTTTTACATTAAGCTGGTTTCACCAGAGGATTTTTCCACTTATTTTGTTTCCTATGTCTGTTTTGATTAAGTACTACCAATAAGAATAGAAATAAATAGGGTCCACTGGAAAAAGTGTTTAAATTGTTGAATGGCTAGGTTAAGTAGGCAGCTACCACTGCAAGAGTGTGGACTGATACGTTTAGTCCACTGTCCAGTAGGAGATTAATTTAAAAGAAAAAAATCATCTCAGAACTTTGCGATGTTGTGGTCTTCGTGAAAAGTCATGAACCTGTAATTGAAACACAGTACTTGATATTGCTATAGTCTTTCAAAAATGTATTTAGATTACCTCTCTGTGTAAAAAATGTTGTTTGGTTGGTTTTATTTTACAGTTTCTAGTGCAAAACTTTGTCTTCTGTTAGTCTTAATGAAGCACTGCAGACTGACAAAGCTTTACATGGTTGATCTAGTAAAAGCTGCGGATTTTTTCATCAGGAGTTTTGTTTCACACTTTTTGAGTCTTTTTTTTTTTTTTTTCAGATTTAACACCTTGCTTCCAGGATTCCTGAGTTTTAATTATTGTATTGAAGTGTTTTTATCTCCCAGCAATGTCAACATGTATTTGGCTGTTTGCAGATATATGGCATTTGCAATCTGATTTTTTTAAGCAGAAATTGTAGGGATGCATCTGTGTTGGATTTTGATTTTGTTTGTGTGACAGATACCTTGTACTTACATACGCCTTTTATATTTTATAAATCATGGAGTATTTTACATTTCAGTGAATCAAATATCTGAGATTGAATCCTGAAATCTGTTTTACATCCATAAAGGGTTAATTCTGAGAACGGTAGTGAGGTGTGGAGAGAGAGCTTTCTGTTTTATCACCTTGGAGTAATCTTAAGCTTTAAAAAAACCCATACATCTAGAAATATGTACTGGTTTGAGAGACATTTTCATGCTGCCAGCTACTGCATGAGCAGTGTTTTGTAAGTCAGGTCCGAAAGAAGTGTATTTGGTTATACTGTCTTTTTTTTTTCTACTGCTAAAGTTTAAAAAAAGGGTCGTATTTCTTCTTGTTTGCTACTTTTTAAGACTTAAGCATTAAATGTTGACATCCCGGTGTTTGGACTGTGGCAATTTACAATGTATTTGTTATACTTATTGTACTTTAGAGAGAGAAACACAAGCTGAATCCAAACAGAAACCAGCAAATTAATGTGAGAAAAGTAAGAACAAGAAAAGAAGAGTGGGAGAGAAGGAAAATGGGCATTGAGTTCATGAGTGACGCAAAGAAAATGGAACAGGCAGGAAGCATGAAAGAGGACAAAATGCCCAAAGGGTTTGTTATTTTGTTTTGCTCAAAGCCCTGGCTTTTTGTTGCTTACCTTGCTTCCAGTCTCACAGATAAGTGCATCCCTTCACTGTGTTCACTAAAAGCCAGGCTGCACCATTGTTCATTACTAAAACAAGTCTTCACAGTAATGGGATGAAAAGATCCTTTTGCTCCCTCTCTTGGGCTTATTTGACAGAACATCCTAGACTTTGTATCTTTATGAACTCTCTGCTCAACTAATACTTACATTTCCCAGTTTCTTTAAGCTTTTCCAACAAAATTAATTGTGCAAACAAAATAAAAAGCATTTTCTAACTTTCAAAATTGGTTTTCTCTGCAATGGTAAAATGTGTTCTTCTGCATAATTGCAAGTGCTTGTAGTATTGCTTTTATTTTTCTGCTGCCACTGTTAACTTGAGGCAGGCTGGTAAGTATTGCCATTTCAAACAATGGACTGTCAAAATCATTGACAAAAACCTTAAGCTTCATTATGGCTACTAAAATTCTTGTGCTTTATGTGGACTTAAAAGGGAGTGGTACTTGTTAAATTGGGGAATACTCTTGCAAGAAAAATATTGCTGATTGTATTTTTTTTTAGCTTGTTTTGTCAGTTATTTAGCTAATGCCCTGTTATACTCACATAATCTGCTCTTCTGCATCAATTTACTTTAATTTTAGGTCCCATGCATCCGATGTTACAGATTATTCTTATCCTGCTACTCCGAATCATTCCCTCCATCAGCAGATTGCAATGCCTTCCTATGGAGCAGGAGATGGTCCTCAGTACATGGCAGCATCCCAAAGCCATGAGCATGAATACAGACCACCCTCCACCACTGTACGACATGCCACTTTAAACAGACCTCAGCAACCACCTCCACCTCCACCCCAGCCTTCAGATGGCCAGCACAGCTCAGTACCTGTGGTACCAGCAGATTATGGGTAAGTCTGATTTATTCTAGGGGATTCTTGGCAAAACCAGAGGAATGCATGTTTTTCATAACCATCGTAATGTATAATGCATCAAAGAAAAAGACCCCAAATACATTAGTTACCTCCTTGGGGAGGACAGAAGAAAATTGGTATAATTTCTGTGTATGAACTGAATTTAAGTGAAGAAATAGTGAAAGCAGAAATAACCAAGTTTGTATTGAATGAAGTGTGTATTGGTGAAGTCAGTATAATTGTAAAATATTAAGGGTGCCTAATACAATATTGAAGAAGGGATAATTTTCCTTTAAAGTGGAAAGTAGTTGCAGGATAATTTGGATAATATTTTAAACTTCAGGAGATGTGCAGAAGGAGTATTGTTGATTGTGATTAATCTGGCAGTCTTTGTTGCATCCCTGAAATCCCTAAAAGACCTTTTTAGAGAAGCTTGTGACAGTATTGGAAGGAGTCTCCTCAGACACAAATTCTGGACTGCCACAGGAGGAATGCCACTTTTTTAATTCAAGACAGAGATATATCAAACGCCTGTGTATATACTTTGCTTGAATGCATTCAAAGGAAGGCTTGCTCCAGAGTTTTAGTTCTCCTGTAGCAAGAAAACATCTGTTTTATAATGAGCCTGTTCTTTTGTGTAAAGAGCTTAAACTTTTAAGTTGTAACCCCAGGAAAGTCATTCTTGCCTATGTTTTTTACTATGCAAGCCAAGATTTGTCATCCTTGCTTGATACATCATGGGATGGCATTTGCCTGATTGATGGCTGTCATGCTGCAGATGACTGAGTTAGGAGTGACTGCTCCAGCCTGCCCTTTCTCTGTTGTTTCCAGTGTGTAAGACATTACTGGACTTAATCCTCAGGTCCATGTCCATTGTCGGGGTGTTGCAGTTGTTATACACTGGCATGTGTCACTCAGTGTCATCAGTCACTTTACTTTAACTCCTGTTTCCCGTATCTAGTTCTTTACCTACTACATAACTCTTACCAATTCTCTTTTTCTGACTAAGATTTCTTTCAATTACATTTTAACACAGAAATGAGCTCTCCCCTGTGCCTCCTATTTAAAGAATCGATCAAATGTATCAATTTAATTAAATGCTATTTAAACTGATAAATTTAACTGAAGAAATATGTTGCACTGTGACACAAAATAACTCATGCACTCACACTAAGATCAAAAACGTAAAAGGAAGTAACTTTTATTTCTGAACTTGCAACATATAAAATTCTAAAAGTGACAGTGAATTGGAAGATGAAATTACTACTACACTAGTCAAACTAACAGTCTATCTATTTTCTCCTCCCATAAAAAACATTACAAAGCAATCATTATTTACATAAACAGTGTGTGAGAACTCCAGTAGAAATATGTTAACATCAAAAAGCATAAAAAACTTTTAAAAAAACAAGACAACAGAAGCACATGAGATACATTTACCTTTGGGTAAATATTTTCTTTCATACTTTCCATTGTTCTCCATGTTTGTGTCCTCTATTACCTCTTGACCTATGGAATTGAAGGGTGTAGTCTGCAGTTTTCTTGGTCCCTTCTTCTTCAAAGACTTTGCACTTTACAGTCCCACAGAGTAGATGTTTAATAAGAAATGCAGCTTCATACTTAACTGGGCAGGAGAGTTGAGATAAAGAAGCTCACTTTGTAGCGTGCTGAAAGGACACTGCCTTTAACATTTGTCTTAAATCTCAGTAAATCAGCAATATTTGAAAGTTTGACAATTCTTACATGTAAAATCACTTGCATATTTAAGACATCAGTGTAAATTTTTTTTTTTTTTTTACCTGAGGTTGGATGAGTACAGTTTAAGAGACGATAATTTTGGAAGTTCTAACTTTGAATGCATTAAATGTTTTTGTTCTGTTTTATATAGGATGCTCCCAGCTCAGATGGTGGATTATTACAATCCTACAGGTCCTCCCCCTCCTCCTCCCCCTCCTATGATTCCTTCAGCACAAACTGCATTTGTTAGTCCTCTTCAGCTTCCTGTGCCACCTTCCCATTCCGGACTGGTGACTGTCTCTACATATGCAGCTACTCATCCTCCTCCTGCTGGTGGGCTTGTTGTCACTGCTCCTCCTCCTCCCGGCCCACCTCCTCCCCCTCCAGGCCCTCCTGCTGCAGGTGCATCCCTCTCTTCCTCCCCCATGCACGCTCCTCCGGCGTCGGAGGCGAAGCAGGCACCAATGAGTGATGCACGGAGTGATCTGCTGGCTGCCATCAGGATGGGTAAGTGCACACTGAGTTTAAGGTATTCCTTTTTTTCAGTGAGAGCACAGTGTTCTTCCACTGAAATGGGTTTGTGGCTTCTTTTCCCAGCTGGGAAGATTTCACTAACTACAGGTACTACACACCTGTTCTGATATTTGTCAGCCATGTGGTTGGATTATTTTCTAGCACCTAAAGCTACACAGCTTTGTCAAGCATGTTCTAGTGTTTGTGTGGGCATAATCTCATGAACACAGCACTTGTGTTCATTATGTAAAGTGCCAGTACATGTACATGGATTTTTGCTCCTGTTGAAGAACTGAATTACCCAGTGCCAGACTTCAGCCCACTGATTTTTTTAACCAGTGACTTACAGCTCTTCCTGACCTCCCTTACAATATGGAGCTGTAGTCTAACAATATTTCCAAATACAGTTTTAAAAACTTTCATCTTCAGATCAAAATGACCTGTACAGTCTTGAATATTTAGGTTCAACATATTGTTGACAGTTTTAGAAGTCCAAAAGTATTCAGTCTCTGAGAATTATTTCCCATCTGCCTTTTTTGTCTTTCCCTCTTCCTTGCTCAAGGAGGCTCTCTCTATCAATGCATGCTTTGTTTTTTCCCCTCTTTGTTCCTGAGTATTTTGTAAGAATACAACAAACTCATCAATAACAGTGTCAAATACAAAATCTCTTGCCTGGAAAACCTTGAGAGTGATTGTCTCTGCAGGAATTCAGCTGAAAAAGGTGCAGGAGCAGCGTGAGCAGGAGGCGAAGCGCGAGCCCGTTGGCAATGACGTGGCCACCATCCTGTCGAGGCGCATTGCCGTGGAGTACAGCGATTCTGATGACGACTCCGAGTTTGATGAGAACGACTGGTCAGATTGAAAGTGGTCCAAGCCTGCTGGCAACTATATTAAATACTTGGCTTCAGTGATTGCTTTGTTAGCAAGATGTAAAGCAGGACGTTGACATGTATTAAGGCTAGTGAGGGAAGTGCTAAAATTGAATTGATATTATTCAGAATGCTGTAGCTTAGCAACTCTGGTAATAATGATGTGATTATGCTTATGCAGATCAGAAACTTGTCTTACTTTCAGTATTTACTGCATAATACTTAAGTGCCACTAAATGTAGCAACTCTTGTGCTGCGTGCAAAATATGATGCAGTTGTTGCACTGTTACAGAACCAGCATTTTATTTTACTTTCCTGTTCTTGAAGGGATAAAATATATTTTTTTGACTTTACATCTTATTCTTTTAATTATGTAAACTTAGATACTTGTGAATTGGTCTGGTTGTTAGTCTTTGAGGGCCGCTAACTGTATGGCTGAGTGAAGTGTCGAGTTCCATAAACGTGACTTTAGCTTTTTTATTAGGTACTAATTTTGCCCACCTTAGTCTATTTTTAACCACTTCTGGGCTTAAGTTTTTATGCATACATAATTGATTTTATACTGTCTTCCTTTTTATCTTAAAAATGTAGCAGATGATGAAATGTATACTTTGAAGAATGAACCCACGTGATCCAGAAAGAACATTTGGTGAGCAGACAGATCTGTCTGTAACAGTACCAGCTCTAAGTTGCTGGTTGCTTGTTGGTAAGAGTGTTGGGGGAGTCTCTGCTGGGTAGCAGATGCATGTCCGTGTTGTAAATGGAAATGAAAATACCTGTAGAGCTTTTCAGTCTTAAAATAAGATCAACTGGATGCAGGATAGAGCTGATGGAAACCCTGTGGCTGTTACAGTGCAGAAAGGCTACTGCTATTGCTGAAGATTGGAACAGTCCAGATCTAGCAATCAGATACATTTCACAAGTATTAAACTTGGTCTTTATGCCTGTAGGTATAAATGTGTGTAAATAAGTTCTATTGTGGTTGATTTGTACATGTGTAGATGTGTGGCACATTGACTCAGAGCTCTTATTTTGAATGTATTTCTTTCCCAGTACATCCCATAGATAAAACATGGGCAGTTGAAGCAGTTTTGATGGCTGTTGAGGTACTATGCCTTATACACATTCACTTTCTTAGTCCTTTCCTAGGCATAGTTGTTTCCATAAAGTCTGCTTTGACTGTCTCTGTTTTCCTTATTTTCCATTTTTTTAATCAGCCATACAGTATTAAAATGGTTTGTTTTGGTTTGGTTTTTTTTTTGTGGGGTTGTTTTTTGTTGTGTTGTTGTTTTTTGGGTTTTTGTTTGTTTTTTGTTTGTTTGTTTTTCTGGACCAAGAGTCAGGCTGCTGCTCTGCCTAATGAGGCTTTTAAATTTTATTCATAGCAGGGGAAGATTTCTTTCCTTACCAGATTAGTTTTAATCTTTGTAACAGAAGTCTGTGTAATTCCAGGTCTAACATTTGGTAAACCTCCTTTGTTCTGTGAGGGCCCGCCCCATCTGTTCTTAAAAGAAGTATGTAAAATAAAAAGAGAAGTGGAAGGTGATTATCTAACCTGTGTTTACACCATTAACAGTTTTAGTCCTGAGAATGTAACAGTCTAACACAATGTTTGCATGCAAACTGTTGGCTGCATTGCTGTTTAATCTGCATATGATTTTTCAATCCTTGGTGGCTGCCTTTATGGTAGAAGGATAACATGCTGCCTCAGGGCTGGTGTTAAAATTTATGACACAAAGTGTGACCAATCTCTGTGTAGTGGTGAGCAACCATGCTCTTGGTAACCAGGGGCAGCTGAAGGTACTTGCTGATCACCGTCCCAGTTGGAGCTGGTTTTGTTCTTGCCTTAAAATGCAGAGCTGAAGTGTGCTTTGTGTCCTGGAGTCTGAGGTCTGTGTGTCCACCAGGGAGGACAGAATTTAGGCTGTAGCCTGATGGTGGCTTTCATCACCATGTGGCAGATGGCTTGTCCTTACCATCATGGTGTGCTTGCACAGTGGCCTGCAAAATGATTCTTTGTAGAGGTAGCTGAAGGTGCAACTGGGACCTCAGTGTTACATCACTGCATATGTGGTGAGAGCACTCTTGATGTTATTTTGATACATGCTGAAATTAAATGTCTCAGCAGAAAATTCTTTCCAGTCTTTCCAATTTGATATGACAGAAGATATATTTTATGAGCACGGAAGTTGGATGTGTCTGAAATTTTGTAATTTGTGCTTATTTTAAATAATAAGCATTAAACAAGCAATCAGTTTGACCAGTGAGGATAGTGTAGATTTTTCAGGCATAGTAGCCAACCTGTTTTTCTGAATTTGCAATGTTGTAATTTTCCTTTTGGTATTTTATGGACAAAATGTGAATTGAATTTAGTGATGTAAACACTATTCTAGGCTGTTTCTATCAGTTATACTTCGAGTTGTGCGTAAGTAACAAATATGAATAAAATCTCACTTTTGAGCCTGTGTTTCTTTCCTTAGATGAGTAAGATTTTGCTGTTAATCTTTATTTTAACTTGCCAATAACAGAAGTGAAAACATAAGACTTCCAAATGCTATCTCTGATCCCAAAGCATGATGTTGCTGGGATGAAGGATGGAGTCTACAATACCAGATTCCTTTGAGGTACTGCTGCTCCTGCTAACATCCATACTTGGTTCTTTTGCAGTCTTGATTCAAGCTCCAAGTTCGTGGCTGGTCTAAGCAGATATGAATTTCTCTACAGGCAACTTTAGGGATTTTTTCCAGTGTAATGCATTAAATGTCGGCTTTGCTTCCAGAAAGAACAGAAATAGGCAGAAAATACAAGTTACATCAGCAAATCTTCTCGCCCACTTTTTAAATAAGAAGTCATCTTTGTAGGTTAGTGACACCCAACACAATACTATAAATACAAACTCATGTAGGCCTACTAGAAAAAAACTTTAAATTTAATCTTTTAATTGTAATCAGATTAAAGCCAGGAGAGGCTTTTCATCCTACTGGGAAGAACTTATATAAACCAATTGTGTAATATAGTAGGTTAATTGTAAATTAAACAGATTTGTTTATGCATCTTAGACTCAGTTGTTTCTTGGGAAAATAAATTAATCTTTATTCTGTCTAACTGAAAACACCAGTCCTCTGGCTCTCAGTTCTTACTTCTCTCAAATTTCCCACTTTTTGATTTGAACTTAATTCAATTAATTTAGACCACAATTCTTAGCACCAGTTCTACATAGAAACTGAATATGCAAGTTTGAAATTTTTTTGGTTCAAAGGTTCTCTTAGTAAAGCATTTATAACTGCTTGTTGTAGCTCGGTTGGAATTAGGACTGATGGTCACTCAGCATGCTGCTTCTACATCTTTTGTTATTGTCCTTTGAATTTTAAAGAATTTTCATGGAACTAAACTGAACTGGATTTTTGGGTATTTGAGATTTCTCTTTACCAAGATGAATGGAGAAGAAAAATGCCTTTGTAAGAAGTGCATGGTGTTGAGCACAAGCTCCAAATTGAACTCATTTGCGGTATGCAGATGGAGTTGTGAGGGAAGGAAATATCTCCTTGGGAAATTGGTGCTTGATGTATTTTTCAGCTATGTTCTCTCTCTTGTGCTGGACACTGTTTTAATAATGAAGAGGTGTTCTTTTCCCCTTGAAACAACATACCATAGGGTACAGGAAATATGAAATTTCTAAAAATGTATAAAATCTGACTGTGAACTGAACTGAGTGTAAACCTGATAATAATGAAGACTTCATTAGAATCCTATGACTGGAAGCTGGAGTTGTACAAATTAAATTTTGAGCTCGGGTATTACTTCCTAGCCAAGAAGTAAGATAAATATTAGAAGAGCTTTTCCAGAGACAGTTTTTTACAGTGAATTTTCTTTAAGGTGACATTACACATTTTTTCCTTCTGAAAAACCACACAGAAATTCAGCCTGCTGTAGTCTGCTTTGGGGAAAAGTGCTTGCCTTGTGGGGGTGCGGATTTTTAATTCTGAGTCAAGCATTCCTGGTAAAAGTGATTCCATACATACATGAACTCAAGTCCAAGGATATTAAGCATATTGAGGCAGATATGTATTCAGGTACTAAAACACTGAAGGTGATATATAGGGAATAAAAATAAATTATGGTCCCTGCTAGAATCCCTCAGGCCCTGGTGTATGCTGCAGAACAGTCATGAGAGACTTGAGCTTACCATGGAACACCCTTCCTAGTTTCCGTGGACTTTAAAGAAGTGTGGCTACTCCAGAAGGACTGTGGGATCCCAACTGCCCATCTTTTGTTAAAAAAGAAGAGGAAGACCAAGAACACTGAGAAAAAGTCCTTTAGGTATAAAGCAGGGAGAAGGAATTTCATATCTTACTTTCTCTATTAACAGGCAGAGAATCTCTTCATGTGCTGTCAAGTCTCTGTAGGTTTCTCTGGAGAAATGTGTTCTCATCTGTGGGTGACATAGATGCACTCTCCTACAAGTGGAAAGTGCTCTCAGGTTTGTGCTGGGTTGGGCTTTTCAGCTACGTAAGAAGACAACTTGTCCCTAAGACTCTTAGCTAAATATAGTCTCTTGGAGATTACTGTAACTGCTGCAGATAAATAGAGAACTTCTTATCTGATTAGCCAGAGTAGGGTGGAGTTCTGTGCTTTTCTCTTGTCAGGGGGTTTTGTGCAGAGTGATTTGGAGATTAGAGCTGAGGGCCACTGTTCTGAGAAGTCTCAGCAGCTTGTCTTAAGCATGTTGTCTTTCTGAGTCACTCCGCATTTCAATCACTCTGTGCTGTGGCACCACGTGAAAGCTGCTCTGTTCAGCAGTCACTTGTTGCCAGTCAAGTGTAGGGTAGAGGAGGGAAGAGAGGCCTGGGAATCTACCTTACTTACCCTAGTGCCAGTTAATACTGGACAGCCTGTCCTCTTTGTCTGGGGTAGCAACTCTAAACAGAAGTCCTGCCAACTACACTCAAGGGGGTGGCCGAACTCATCTCTTTCCTCTGTTCCTGGAAATCAGGTGTTCTCTTGGTATCTGACAATGCTGATGAAATTTTTAGTTATGTTTTTAGTCAATTTTTAGTCAAGTTTTCCTGAGTCAGCCTGCTGTTAAAGTTTGATTTCACAAGTGAGTTTAACTCTCTAGTCCCTTACCAGTCACCTTTTCTACTTTCTGAATGGCCCATGCCCACTGCCTGTCACCCTTCACAAACTGGATGCAGTTACCAGCCATGGTGGCAGTGCCCTTGCTCTCCTGAACTCCACAGCCCTGCACGGGCTGTCACCTGCAGCCTGTCCCTCTGCCTCCTCTCCTTGTGAGTCTCGTCCTCCTGGTTTTCAGTAGATGGTTTACACGTTACCAGCCAAAAGTATTCCACTTTCCCGTTTCAGCAGGACCTGTGGTTTGGTTGGCTGGCCATGGTGTCTTTCCCTTGGGTAGATCCTTGTTCTGTGAGTGTGCTGGTACCACTGGATGTTAAAAGGGGTGCTGCTTCAAGGCACAGGGCTTTTCCTCTCCATAGAGGAGGATGATGGTAGTAGGATTGTTTACCACAGAGTCACACTTTATCACTAAACAAAGACTTTCTAAAGTTGCTGCTTATCTCACTATTTGAGGCCTCACCTTAGCCTCACTTGAGACACTCTTTCATGTTTGTTTCTATTAATTTTCTCTGGTCTGGTTTTGGGGTGTTTTCAGCTCTACCTGTGATGCCTTAGTTTTTAGTTTTTATGTTTCTCAGATTCTGTACTACTTTAGTGTATAGTTCTGAGCTTCCTATTAAGGGATGGTAAGCTCTGTTCACAGAGTAGGTAGACAAAACAATTCCATCTCTGGCTTTGGACCAAGGACAACTGATCCAAATCTCAGGCCCAAGAGCATAAACAATGTAGACTGAAGAAAGAAAAACAAGAAGGATGGGACTTCATAACCTAAAGCTATAATTGGACAATTTGCTAATGGAGTAGAACTTATAAAACTGTGAGACCTCATGACTGGTCGTCCATTTTGTGACTATTTTGGGTTCTTCTTGGGTGTAGCCTTGACCAGGCGGTTGTACTAGCCAAGGTGTATCCATTGAGACTTTTTAATAAATGCCTACTTTATTTAACTCTGTATAGTCTCAGTTCTAGGTCAGCTTTCACAAGGTATCACCTGCAGTGGTTTATTTTTCTCTTCTGTTTGTGTTTCATTCCAAATTTAGTAGGCTTCCTAAAATTCTTCTTAGGTTGCCTTCACACAGCTGGGTACTGCTTACTTACCATTATGTTGTAATCATTATTTCTGTACTTGAGGAAAAAGGATTTTTGTTTGTTTCATATACTCAGAATGACAACCAAAGTAACACTTTCAAGGATGGCTGTTAAAGTTTCCCCATACATTTATTTCTATATAACTTGTATTTATAGCACATTTTGCTGTAACAAAGGTTTAGAAGTTTTCCTTACAGCAGATGGTAAAGTTTTTGTATTGCCGTGAAGAACTTTTGTATAGGTTCATCAGAATATTTAATCTGACTGTGTTGAGACTTTCAAGATGTATAATGTGTGCAATGCTGTGCTGTGAGCTAGATTAGTTATAAACGTCTGCAGTTCCTAGGGGCATTTGGGGTTTACCTTAAAACACCTGGATCCTGCTGGCTCACTGCTCCTCCCAGTACCAGTCACTGATTTGGCATAAGTGATGCAAAACACCACTATGACATTTCACAAATGTTTACAGAAAGATAAGCAAGAGTGCTGCCTTGAGAGGCTGACCTAGAACAGAGGCTAGAGAGTGTTAAAGGAATAAAGTAGGTATTTATTGAAAGGCTTTCAAAGGATACAGCTTGGGCAGTACAAGAGCCTGGCCATGGCTCCACCTAAGATGGACCCCAAGTCATGAGTCTTTACACTTTTATAAATTTTGGTCCATTTACATATTGGGGTTCATTGTCCAGTTAGAGCTGCAGTTTATGAAGTCCCATCCTCCCAGATTGCTCTCCTCAGTTTGCTGTTTATACCTTTTGGGCCTGAAGCTGCAATAGTGTCCTTGGTTCTTGGGCTGGAAAAGGATTGTTTTGTCTAACTAAACCGTGAGGAAAACTTGCTAACACTTTACATGAAGTTCAGAGTCACACACTAAGGCAGCACAGAATCTGAAAAATATGAAAGCTAAAACTTAAGGCATCAGTACTCAAGTGACCGGCATCAGCCAAATGCTTACCTGAAAGAGTATCCCATTTTTTATCGTATCCTATACTCTCTTTAAAAGCATGACAACCCATGCTTTTAAAATTTTTAAGAGCCGTCTTTATAAGTTGACATGGTCTACTTAGAAAACTGAATTTAGATCTACCACAGGCTTTTAAGTAAAGGATGCTCCATCCCTCTCCTGAGGTGCCCCTCCTGTCCTATATTATTTGCTATGTTTCTAGAATTTATGTGAATAATTTATATGGCTTTATAGATTTACTTCATACTTTACTGAAAGAGATAATAAATCCTTA